ACATGATTGATTTCAATATGATATTTTAGCGAACATTTTTTAAAATCAATTGTGTAAATGTCCTAAAAATTTCAATCCTTCCTGGGTTTTAAAGTATTATATTCATTCTTGCGATTTTAGTCCAGTTTAATTTGAAAACGACCACATGCAAACTTCTACCCCGGCAACTTAGCAGGGGCGTGAAAATTTGTGTATGACATGGGTGTAGGAGTTTGGTCAACTTTTCTATGAGTATCACAAGCATTAAATATTCATAAATACTAAAAAAAATGTTGCAGTTGTATATTTAATCAATTTGCTTACAAGTAACAAAGCAATTTGACCAACTTTTTTTTATTATACTGAATTATCAGGAGGTGCCACACCCTCATACCAACCCCCTCCCCAATCGCCACACCCATATCGGCAAGCCCAGCTGGCCCGCTTGACACAACCACAGCCCGAGCTGACCCGGTTGAATGTAACTGAAACGTTTGAATTGACTATAATAAACTTTAGGGAACGGGCCAGCCTCGCCCATGCAATCCGCCCCTTACATCATGACGCGGTTTCACATCACTATGCATGGACCTATTCGAAGTAGAGCAAAAGGCCTATTGCGAGATACATAAAATAGAGGCTAGTCAGGTTTTCTATACTGCAAACATTCCAGAATAATTTGTTTCCTTCTAAATTTTAATTGAGGAAACTTCGTCTTTTGTATCTTGTGACATAAAATAAATATGATTTTGACATTGGAAAAAAATAAGACCTGATTATAACCCGACTACACCAAGAAATTGTGCTTCGCCACAGGCTTATTTCCCCTTTTCCAAAAGGTTTATGCACTTAAAAAATTGCTTTAGAATATAAAAATAGAATGCTAAAAACTTCTTATAAAAGTTTGCCTGACAAAACAGGAAACTAATTCTAAAAGAAAAGGTATCCACGATTCATCACTCATTCCAGCGATTTTAGTCCAGGTAAATCATTGACCTAAACCTTCCTTGTTATTCATTTCACTCAAGTCTCTGACTAAATTAAGAAAGATGAACAAAAATATCCTTCATTTTATAGCTTCGTTTCCTCGGTACGAAAATATTTTCCTTTAGAATTTAATTTCTAATGGAAGAAATCATGTTTTCCTATCTAGTCACATAAAGACAGCTATAACTTTAACGTTCAGGAAAATAACATAAACACTTGAAATGTATTCCTTTAGTCACAGCGTAATTTTTTATCGTAGTTTCTTTTAACGTATTTTCTTTCCGAGCCTTTTTTTCCCCAAGGGGGAAAAACATGTAATAATGATCCATGTTAATTATAGAAGGATTTTTTGTACATCGTCTTCCGTTAGGAATCGTAAAGCAGGTAAAGAGGGCTATTATACTGAATTCCTGTGTGTAGAATAAACTGAACGCTTAACAAGTAAGATGCTGAATATTCATGTACCCTTATCACAAGTACACAAAGGAAGTATGTGAATTAATCGATCTCACACGCAGGTTATAAAAACACACAGCAGGAAAATCTCTTGGATACAAAATATATTTTAAAAATATTTTTGTACTAATATTACGCAGTTCAAACGTTTTCAGAGACGTATTCCGTGTTTGTTAAATCCGTTGACTATGTTAAAGTTAATTGGCTTTTTTTAAGAAAATGTATATATCAGACAATTTGCGTGCGTTTCGCCGTTAAAACAAGAAATTCCATGCTCAATAATTTACATCACGAAAGGAGAAACTAAAAAAACATTTCAACGATTTCCGTGGTTTTCGCATTTCAGGACGTTCCATAGCTGAACGTTTTGATTTACGCGTGGTTTTCGCATTTAAACAAGAAATCGGATTCTAAACTACTTACATCAAGAAAGGAAATCTTAGAAATACTTTTCAATATTATGAATTTTGAAATATTTGTTGCCATTTCTGTCAACGAACAGAAGAGAACGCGTCGATGGAAGAAAGAAGGGAGCTGGATGAGAACGAAATACACTGCTAGAAAAGGAAAGATCACGAAAGTATCTGGAAGCTATAATTCTGCCTTCCGACACCTTAACAAAATGTATCCATTCACCGCCGAAAATAGCAATCAAATCAGAATCGATATAAGAAGCCACTGTAACTTTTGCAATAGGAAGGTTATGAAAATTTTGCACGTCATTTGGAAAAGTAATAGAAAGTAAACGAATATTAAGCGGTGTATCTCTTGTCAAGAACACTGCATTGCGAGTCGTTTTTGTACCAGATAAACACCACCAAAGAAAATCAGGTAGATGTAACTCTCCGGTTGTACGTACAATCCACGTGTTGCCACCTTTTAGTTCCCACAATTCATAAACCGAAATAAAATCAGGTAATAATAACATAACAGCACACCCATCAGAACTTATTGCGACAGAAGGGTCAGTAAACATACATGACGGCGTTTCTTGATAACACAGTTTTTCGTTACAGATTCTTAAAATAGAAAGTTTCCGATCGCCGTAAATCACAAGAACTCCATTTTTAAATACTAGTACACGTTCAAAATTTCCAATAGATTCTTCATGTTGACTTCCTAAGATATTTTCACTCGTAGGTTCATAACGATATCTAACAACCAGACGTTTATAGACCAACCAAAGATACGACTCTGACCACCAACATGCTAACGCTCGTTGTTTCAGTGCAACAGTTTGCAATGTTTCCCACTCAACACTTCTTATTAAGAAAAAGCAATTTTCAAAACAGCACGCGACATAAAAATTTTGTCTGGAGATAGTGCACGACAATCTATTTGGGCATTGTCAACAAAAGTAGCATCAGGCCATTCGAGAAGAGATTTGAAGGATAAAACACTGAGTACTTTGGGAAATCTTAAAGATAAAAGGAAACTCGTCCCATCTAATTTCGAAATGTAATTGACAAGAGTATCACAAGGCAAAAATCCAATCTCAAACACGTCAACGATCTTTTGATTTATGAAATCGTACACTACCAAAGCTAAATCATTTTTCAAATCATTTGTAAATGCTACACACTTTCTTTTTTTCCACACAAAAACGTTTGAACAATATTTATTGGAAATTATAAGTTTCTCACCAGATGGCAAACAGATATAATTCATTTTCATTTTATCATTCGAGTCGAAAGATGAATGAGGCGGGGAAAACATTTGATAAGAATCATTACTACACAAACTCTGGTCAACACGAATATTCTTGTTATCAATCTTTTCTAAGGTTTCAGAATTCAAGACGTTCATGTAATCTAAGACTGTGGAAACAGTCAACCCATAATGTGACCAAAGAAGAATGTACGAGTTACAATTACTAAACAAACAATAAGATCGCTCATCATACACATTCTCAACTTCAACCAATATATTCTTGCTTTTTACATCCCACACTTTGATTGACCTTTCCTCTAATGTGACAAGTTTCATTCCACATGAAGAAAATGAACAGTGATTGATGTCATTGGGGCCGTGCGTAATGAAGGGGACCTCTTTTTTTTGGTTAATATTGATGCAGAACCGGATTGAATTGTATAAAATATATGAGGAGTCTGGAGAAAAGGCAAAGAATTTACAAAGAGGTCCTTTACTAGTAATTTGTGCCTCAAAGATTGTTGTAAGATCTGGTATTTTAAGCATTTGAAATTTTCCCTCATGCGCAGGTATGCAAGCAACCATCGTCTGATCCGGTGACACTAAAATATCACAAACTGAACTGCCTGTAAACACAGTTTGGGGAACAATGCTTAAATTAGAATTGCTTTCCGTTGTCACATATTCTATCCAAATCTTATTTGTCGCACCCAACATATCCCTAGCTACACATTTGGAATTGACGGCACCTTGTGAAAAATCAAAGTGCCCATTAGCGAGTGCTTGCAAATATACGTAACAACGATCTTTTTCATAAGTCTTAAATATTCCAATCACTTGTGCCATCTCGGAGAAACAAACGTGTTGAATGAGGCCCCAATAAATATCTTTGGAAAGTTTAGAACGGTACGTGCCAAGAATTCGCCTTAAAAAAAAACCACTCACGTGATGAAAAAATTTTAGTTTTAAGAAGTTTATACCAACATGCACCAACCAATGAAATTCTTCTACCTCGCCTGTATCGACCAAATATTTCCAACCATTTTCTAAAGCATATCAATATCGGGAGAAATTTGGAATTCTAAAACAGACTTCAAAGCATCTATCTCGCAGAATTGTTTCTTACAAGCACGCCAGAGACGTCTATTGCCGTCTTCAACATCTGCAACGAATGCATGTTCTTCATAACCGTTCAATGTCAGCCAATCCCATAATGACTTATGATAAACAGTTAGACACCCATCGTAAACTGGAAGAATCTCTGACATTATGTCCAGAACTGCTTTGCGTATTTTAAATTCCTCTTTAGAGAGACCCATGCATGTGAAGAGAACTTTTATTGGCAGAGGTTCCTTAGAAACGGCAACGACATTGATGAAACTGTTTAAGAGATATGAAGCATCTTGCTTGAAACGTTTGAGGCCTATTTCTAAACGTTTGAACTGTTTTTCGTAATATCCGGAAATACCGTTGGAGATGTAATCACTTAGGTCGGGTTCAATTCCCACGCCCTTTTCTCTCAATTCACTGACTAAGTAATAAGCGTACAAAAACGATCCCTCACACTTTGAAATAACTGACCTTATACTATTATCATCAAGATTAGATAAACTATGACGAACAAAAAGCTCTATGTCGTGGTTGTGATCGTTGTTATCAGGGCGGATTTCCCACGGGTGAAGATGTTCAAGAATCTTTCGTACTTGTAGCTCTGGTCGACTTGAAATGAATATCTTAATCCAATCAGGCAGTTCACAAAATCTCTCAGATATCAACTCCAAAAATTCGCTTTTCTCGTCAGTTTTGCTCTCGTCCAAAGCATCAACGATGATCAACATTGGATCGTGTCTGTCAAGGGCATGGAGGGGGTCGTTCAAAAGAACACGAAATGCGTCTGACAGCGTCAGTCACTGACTGATCGAAGAATTTCACGTACGAAGAATTTCAGTTAGTTTATCACGAAATCCTTCAACATTATCACACATTTGACTGGCAAGAGACTGGAGGATTCTCTGAGGATTGCTGGAATCAGAATTTCGAAAGTCACAGAAATGGTGAGCTGCGAGTTGACCACGTTCTCTAAACACCTCGCAAAGCTTTGCAGACAAAACACTTTTCCCAACACCTGGACCTGCAGTTAAGATCAAGACCCTGGTTTCATCACTCCGAAACCAATTTGAAAGTTTTTCAAACAACCACTTTCTGGTGCCATCTTGAAATTTTCTACAAAGGTCACGAATCTTTCCAGTAAAGTTAAATTTAGCCAGTTGCTCAACATGCGAGGGATGAACATTTTCAACTTTCTTAGTTAATTTGACTACTTTACTTTCAACATCGTTTAATTTTGACATGAAATCATCCTCCTGTTGTTTCCACTCTTTTAATCTTTCAATATAACTTTCTTCTTCAGGGCTAAGAGGAGCCACCTTTAATTCATCAATAGCATTTTGATGAATTCCCAATTTGACTAACGGAACAGAAATTTCCGTCCACAGTGTTTCAAACGTTACGTCGTCCAAACCAGCAGTCGGAATATGACCATAGACTTCTTTTCTAAACATTTTGACTCTTAAAATATTTGCAGATATAGAAGTATCGCTGACTGGAGGCATCACATTCCATCCGGTGGCTGGTGCTGACAATCCACAAATATTTCGGAGTAGGACAGTCAATAGGGTGATATCAAAGTTTTTTGAATCTGCTGAACCAGATCTTGGGAAGAGTAGATCCCATTGCAAGACTTTAATTACACTGTATCGTATTCTCTGCAAGGTCTCTCTTCACGTTAGCATTCAATACGGAAGCTAAGGTGGAAGGTGGATGCACCGCATGCAAAGCATTTCTCAAAACATCTCCACCTTTATCTACCAACAATTGACATACTCTTGAATAATTAGCTTTGCCTTTCAATGGATCCATTGTTGTCTTTAAATATTAACTTCAGAATCCCCTAAAACAGAGACACAGTCAGGATAATAATTCTTATAATACTATTATATAAAGGATGTTGTATGGTTTATCAATTATAAGCTTTTTAAAGTGATATAAACACGTAAAAAGCGTTTTTACTTGGATTTGCGTTTCGTGAAAATATGGAGATCTAACTCATTTTCACTAATCTACTAGCCTGTGCACAGACGCAACGCTCCCTCATAAATTACGTCAGTGCACAGGCTACTAATCTACTGGAGATTTGGGAGTGCTAATAGGCAGCATTTTTTAAAATATTAAGAAGAAATAAATAAATAAATTACCTTTACTTTTGCATAATATTCATAGGCATAATATTTAATACGATGCTACAAAAAATCATTTTCGAGGACCCTGTCGTTCAACGAAATTTTTAGCTGTTTATGGCCTTTTGTTTCAACGTATCTAACTGTAACTGAGTACGCACATTAAAAATACTCTTTGCTACAGCCAGATTTGTTGCAAAGAATACTCTCAACTAACTAAACATTTTCTGGTTAAACTTGTATCAAACTACGTGGAAACGGGGCCTTAGGTACAATACATTAGTGCAAGTTAGGCTCGTTTCAGACGTCGAATTTTTCATGTGCAAAATCCAGTGCAAAATGAACTTAAACAAAGACTTTATCTCATTAACATTAGGTTCGGAACATGAATAGTCGACGTTTGAAAGGGGCCTCATTCATTTCTACGCCATATATATTCAGTAACTTATTAGGGTTTAAGTGTTTTAGTATTAGCTCTGCGTTTAAATTACTCTTGAACTAGAATCGTTACTCGTTGTAATAGCTAAGACCGAACAGGTTATAATATGGGAAAAAGACAGTAAATTTCAGCTATTTAAAAATATTATAAAATATATACAAAATCTTATCAAGTCAGGTCCTATCAAAAAAGGAGACGTCTTTGAAATAACGGAGTATCAGCGAGGGAATGAGCTGCCTCGCGGAGGCGTGGCTCTGGGAAACACTATAGAGGGTGTATCAAAAAAGTAGACAATTTTGAAATGTTTAGAAAACTATAAATTTAACAAAATATCTCATAGATTTGTGCTAGTATGGGTACTTTGGCATCTTCAGGACATTCTAACACTAAAAACAAACAGAAAAATTAACCTCGTAAAATGGAAGAGCGGTTTGTGGAAGCATCATTTTGAATGGCTTGTGCAAACATGAATGAGAGGTTTAAAATCCAATTTGAATTCAAGGGCTGAACGATTGGGTATTTGTTTACAAAGAATCGAAATTTCAGAAATTTTGATGAAAATTAAGTCAGCCGCGCAACTGCGTAAACGTGGGCTTTTTTCCGTTTAACTCGCAGCTTGAGTAACTTTTTTCACAACACCATTGTTAGTTTAATCACCCGAGCAATCACTCATGCATGAAATCATTCCTGCATGAAAAAAGTTACTCAAGCTGCGAGTTAAACGGAAAAAAGCCCACGTTTACGCAGTTGCGCGGCTAACTTAATTTTCATCAAAATTTCTGAAATTTCGATTCTTTGTAAACAATTACCCAAACGTTCAGCCCTTGAATTCAAATCGGATTTTAAACTTCTCATTCATGTTTGCACAAGCCATTCAAAATGATGCTTCCACAAACCGCTCTTCCATTTTTCGAGGTTAATTTTTCTGTTTGTTTTTAGTGTTAGAATGACCTGAAGATGCCAAAGTACCCATACTAGCACAAATCTATGAGATATTTTGATAAATTTATAGTTTTCTAAACATTTCAAAATTGTCTACTTTTTTTTGATACACCCTGTATAGGTTTTTCCTCTCATGTTTGTGAATAGTTCAAATCGTATCTTACTCACAGATGCCAAGTCACCGTCGTTTATAATAAGCAGTCCTCTGTAAAGCCTCAGTGTGAATATAGGGGTCCAACAAGGAAGCATTCTTGGGCCGCTTTTATTCATTATCTATGTGAATGTGAACAATTTACCCAATTGTATCAAATCATGTAATATCTCTATGTATGAGAATGATACTGCCGTTTACTTTTCTTCAAAGACAGTCAAGGTATTGAATTAAACGAGGAACTGGCAAATGTTCAAAAGTGGTTCACAGACAGTCTCGTAACCTTAAATGAGAAGAAATCTAAATTGATACTAATTGGTGGCCATCAACGACTTAAATCTTGTTCTGGTGTTTCCATCGGTATCAATGGGTCAATACGATTGTGCGTGATGAGGATGCGCAGGTTCTTCATTGATGATGAACTTCGAAATTGAATTCCTAGTTTTTATCGCTTAAATAACTCACAGAATGTGCCAATGCGAAGTCTAATTTTACTCGAGACATGCATACCCTGATCAATTTCAATACCTATGCTCTAGTAACACTCTGTTGTCTAGATGACATTGGTTTAGGGAGTTGATTAATAGATGCCATTATATTAAATAAATGAACGTTTTTCGCCGATATTTAACAAAAGTGAGAGACAAGGCGCGTCTAGCTGATCTACATAGATAACGTAAAACTGTACTAGCTCTAGGGAGCTACATTAAACGGATCTTTTACTAAAGATCACGTAAAACTGTACTAGCTGTAAAGAGCTACATTAAACTGATCTTTTACTATAGATCACGTAAAACTGTACTAGCTGTAGGGAGCTTCATTAAACTGATCTTTTACTATGGATCACGTAAAACTGTACTAGCTGTAGGTAGCTACATTAAACTGATCTTTTACTATAGATCACGTAAAACTGTACTAGCTGTAAGGAGCTACATTAAACTGATCTTTTACTATAGATCACGTAAAACTGTACTAGCTGTAGGGAGCTACATTAAACTGATCTTTTACTATAGATCACGTAAAACTGTACTAGCTGTAGGGAGCTACATTAAACTGATCTTTTACTATAGATCACGTAAACTGTACTAGCTGTAGGGAGCTACATTAAACTGATCTTTTACTATAGATCACGTAAACTGTACTAGCTCTAGGGAGCTTCATTAAACTGATCTTTTACTATAGATCACGTAAAACTGTACTAGCTGTAGGGAGCTACATTAAACGGATCTTTTACTATAGATCACGTAAAACTGTACTAGCTGTAAGGAGCTACATTAAACGGATGTTTTACTATAGATCACGTAAAACTGTACCAGCTGTAGGGAGCTACATTAAACTGATCTTTTACTATAGATCACGTAAAACTGTACTAGCTGTAGGGAGCTACATTAAACGGATCTTTTACTATAGATCACGTAAAACTGTACTAGCTGTAGGGAGCTACATTAAACTGATCTGTTACCATAGATCACGTAAAACTGTACTAGCTGTAGGGAGCTTCATTAAACGGAACTTCGCACCTTGACTCAGAGAACTTCTCACACGAGTTGAATAACTTTGAGTTGTCCTCGCTGTAAACACTCAACCAACATTATACAACATTGTGTATAAGCAAAATAATGGTAGATCTCCTCCTAAAATTATAATTGAAACAATATTAAACAAGGATCCAGATGAAATGTTACACACAAAACAGGCACATCAAATGTGGTTCAGAAATTGAGTGTTTACACTAATACAAGAAAACGTCGAGCAAATTAAAGACCAGTTTTAAATTATGATGAAAAAAGAGGTCACTTTAGAAAATCTCCAAACAAGTCTGATTTTCCGTTACGCTGCTCTAAAATCTCACACTCTGGGACTGTATATAATTTTACATTTATTTAGGAATCAATTCACGCTCTAATACACAACTAAATTACAACAATGATTATAACCTATATTTATAATAACAAAACAGAATGCTTTACCAATCAATGATGCATTTGCCTGACGCATCTCTTACAGGACTGCAGGATGTTTTTTTCTGTAGTTTTCGCTCCACTACAACCCACGTTTGCGTCCGCTGACGTTATTGTGTGGGATATTGGTTTCACGGTTGCTGCTACGTGCTACCTCAAAACCTCCATTTCCTATGCTATATAATACTACACTATTAACACTTACATAACAATTCCTTTATTAAAAATACATATTACAAATTACGACCATAACACTATAGAAACCCACTTACTTAATAAAAAGTGAGTTTAAGATGCACAAAATCTACGACGCGGACGTGGCATGAAAATTGCTACTAGTGTGAGTATAGACAGAGCCACTCTATCATTTCATATGCTCTACAGCAGATTATATAATTTCCATGTACTGGAGTGCGGCAAGGATTGAATGAAAAACATTAGTGAGAAATTAGTGAATTTTCAGCGTCGTAGCTGGAACCTTAATTGGGGAGTGTATATTCATATATTTGTATTATGATGACTGATTTCTTTCGTACGTTATTGTTCCTACGATATGCAAACATGATTATATGAATATAAGAAATAGGAGACTGAATGGACATAATAAATATAACAGTTGTTGTCAGGCTGAGGATTGAGTTGTGTTCAACACAACTTTCATTCTGTGGGTTTGAATTAAAATTATTTTTAAAAAAATCTTTCATGTGTGGGATAAGGACATTTCAGAAATACTTGTATTACATTAAATATAGCTTAACATTTTCGGTAATATAGAAGATATACGACCAAGGAAAACTTTTTAGGGAAGTGATTTGTGTTATGTTTATGTTAATTTTATGTTATTAGGTGTATGTTAATTGTTTTATGTTATGTACATATCGTATAGTGTTTAGTATAAAAGGGGCAGAACTTGCTTAATAAATGTTAGTTCATTTTAAAACGTCTCGAGTTTTGGTAAACATAATAATTGGCGACGAGGATTTTGTGTATTACGATGGACGAAGAAGGGCAAGCTGCCCAGCCAAATGTTGGTTTTAATCTGTCGTTCATGGGACATATGGAAGAATATTCGTCGAATAATGACTGGAAGCAGTACGTCGAGCGGCTTGAAATATTTTTCGAAGTGAACAATGTACCTACGGAGAAACAAGCATCGAGCATACTTACCTTAATGGGTAGTAAGATGTATGCTTTGCTGAGATCTATTACAGCGCCGAGAAGACCGAAAGAACTAACGTATCAAGAAATTGTAGAGACGTTGACTCAACATTTGGAGCCAAAACCGATCGTTATTGCCGAGCGATACAAGTTCCACAAGGCTGAACAAGAACAGTCTGAATCGATAAGGGATTATCTCGCTAAACTACAGAGACTAGCTGAAACTTGTGAATTTGGTGGCTATCGTGATGAAGCGATTCGAGACCGATTTGTGTGTGGATTAAGAAACCGGGTGATTCAAAGCAAGCTATTAGGTGAAGCGGAATTGACTTTAAAGTTAGCCGTGGAAAAAGCTTGCACAGCGGAATTAACGGACAGAGAAACCTCAGCCTTGCATGGAGAATCGTTGCACCGACTAGAGACCGTATTTCCCGAGTGTTTTCGTTGTGGCAAGAAGAATCACGTTCCGGACAAGTGCTTCTTTCGAAAGTCGAAATGTCATGGTTGTCAAAATTATGGACATATCATTAAGAAATGTCCCGAGAGATCTGGCAACAATAACTGGAAGAAAATAAGATCTGGAAAGTCGAAAGGGAAGGATGACAAGAGGAAAAAAAAGAAACCGAGCGGAATCCATAACGTAAAGACAGATAGCGACGTTGAAAGTGACTGCGAAAGCCAAGAAGAGGTTATGGATACAACATGGCCGGTGTTTATGTTGACTGATTCGGGGAGAAAACAAACAGAGCTGAAAGTACTCGTATCGATTGAAGGAAAACCAGTAACTATGGAAGTGGATACGGGAGCTGCGGTGTCAATTATGCCAGAAAGCGTCTGGAGGAAATTGTCGTCAACAAAACCAGTACGAAAGTCCAACGTTAAATTGCGAAGTTATTCCGGGCACGAAATTCCGGTGTTGGGTGAAATTGATGTGGGCGTGGTGTATGGAAACCAAAAGGCTCATCTACCTGTTATAGTGACTAATAATGAAGGTCCTGTTCTATTAGGTCGCAACTGGTTGTCGGTGTTAAAGCTGAATTGGAGTCAAATAAAGAAAGTTTCAGTTAAGCGGGTCAACAATGTGGAGCAACTAACTAGTCAGTATTCCTCGTTATTTGATGATTCGTTGGGTACGGTCAAAGGAGTGAAGGCACATTTGAAGATGAAGCCAAACGCGACGCCCAAATTTTTCAAACCCAGACCTGTTCCATTTGCTCTGAAAGACAAAATCGGCGAGGAACTAAACCGGTTGGAGGAACTAGGGGTGTTGAAAAAGGTCGAGTTTTCCGAGTGGGCAACTCCAATCGTGCCTGTATTGAAACCAGATGGAAGTGTACGGATATGTGGGGATTATAAAGTCACCATTAATCCATGTCTTGATGTGCAAGAATATCCAATGCCTACTGCTGAGGAATTATTTACAAAACTAAACGGGGGCGAGAAATTCTCGAAGATTGATCTATCAGCTGCGTACCAACAAGTTCTTTTGGACGACGAGTCAAAGCCATAGGTTACGATTAACACTCATTTGGGGCTATATCGGTACACGAGATTGCCTTTTGGAGTAGCCTCAAGCCCAGCCATTTTCCAAAAGACTATGGACGTGGTGTTGAATGGTCTGCAAGGAATTGGAGGTATTCTTGATGATTTGATCATTACGGGCAAGAATGATGAGGAACATTTGCGAAATCTCGACAGCACTCTTAATCGTCTTCAGAGTATGGGGATTCAGCTGAAGAAATCAAAGTGTGTGTTCCTGCAACCCTCAGTAGAGTATTTTGCATTTGTGGTGGATCGACAAGGAATCCATCCTTCGCCTCGTAAAGTTCAAGCCATTCGGGAAGTTCCAATTCCAGAAAATCCAACAGATTTAAAGTAATTCCTGGGTTTTGTGAACTATTATCGCAAGTTCATTCCGGATATGGCAACTTTGGTAAATCCTCTTAATCGGTTGCTATCCCAAGATGTTCCTTGGAACTGGTCCGACGACTGTCAGAAGGCATTTGAAACTTTAAAGTCAGCTTTGGAGAAGTCACCATTGTTACCGCATTACGACCCCAAGAAATCCGTGAGACTAGCTGCTGATGCATCGTCCTGTGGAATAGGAGCTGTACTATCGCATGTATCTGATGATGGAGAAGAACAACCAATAGCTTATGCGTCTCGAACACTCTACGCTAGTGAACAAAATTATTCCATGATCGAAAAAGAGGCCTTGGCAACAATTTTTGGATTGAAGAAGTTTCACCAGTACCTATATGGACGGCGTTTTTCGTTAATAACTGATCACAAGCCTCTCACGTTGATTCTGGGACCTAAGCGTGGTGTTCCTGTGTTAGCAGTATCACGTCAGCAGAGATGGGCGATTCAACTTGGGGCGTATCAATATGATATCGAATATCGAACTTCCAAGAATAATGCTAATGCTGATGCGTTGTCCCGGTTGCCGAGGAAAGTTGTGGAAGAGCCAGATGGGTGGACTTCAGAAGCTGAAGAAGTAAATCGAGTTCAACTGGAACGGGCACCGATTTCGGTTTGTATGATCCGAGAAGCTACGCAAAAAGATCCTGTTTTGTCTCGCGTGGTTTATTTCTTGTTGCATGGTTGGCCAGAGGAACGTAGTTTTTTTTTATATAAACATATTTATTGACTTTAGTGTTTACCCAAGAGCGTACACGCTCATCGAGGGGCTCACGCTACATTTGACATTACAAATAATTGAATAACACTTACAACAGGAGAAGACGAACATTACAAAAAAGAAAAGAAAAACCAACAGCAAAGGTGATAAAAGCTGGTTCAATTGAAGGTTCAGAAGTAAAAAATTAATTCTTAGAAAAACGATTAGTTTGCTTAATATATTTTTGAACATGCATAAATATACATCTATTACTATCTACACTCAAATCAGCTGAACCAAACAAAAATATTTTAGACTTTTGAGAATCCGACAAGAGATACCAGCCTTCACCATAAATATGAGCAGCAGCCGAGAGTAAGGATAATCTAAGAGCAGCATAACGAGGACAATATAACAAATAATGAATGACTGATTCACAAGAATCTCCACATAAACATGCTGGAGATAATCTACAATTAATTTTAAACAAATAATAGTTTAGAGCATTACAATTAAGGCGCAAACGAGTGTGTAAGATAGAAGAATGCCTATCAATAGAAAAATCATAATAGCCAGTATAAGTTTGAATGTCAAAAAACGAAGTTAATTAGCTCTTAAATAAACCAATCGACTTTGAATTTCGATCATTAATATCAGTGCTATTCCATAATATAGTAGTTGAAGGAAAAAACGATTTTTTAAATCTCTCAGTTTTCACACCAAAAAGAGAAAAGTCAGAAGCATTTCTTAGGGATAGACCCGACCTTTGTTTTACTGTTGAGGCAGTAAATCCAACAAATAATTTGGTGTTAGCATATTTACAATTTTAAAGTATAAAATAAGTTTATGAATGGATCGCCTAGTTTTCATATCTTCCCAAGCTAATTCCTCCAATAACCGTACTCTACTAGTACCCTTCATAGCACCTACGACCACTGTTGCAGCTTGATATTGAACGTGCTCAATGAGATCACTTTCATTTTCAGAGCAACCATCCCAAAGAACATCAGCATATTCCATCACTGGTCTGATAAGAGACTTGTACAATTTTGATAAAGTCTCTCTATTTAACTTAAACTTAAAACTTTTTAAAAGATTAAGTTTTTTTTGACGCTTTCTCATAAATATTGAGTATATGTGCTCTCCAAGAAAGATTTGAAGATAGGGTAACCCCTAAATGCTTATGATTACTAACTATTTCAAACGGCTCATTTGCAAAATATAACGTTGGATGTGCTGGTTTGAACATTTTAGCTGAAAATGTGACAGATTTGGTTTTGCCTGGATTTATAGTAAGATGCCAGTGACGTGTCCATTCATTAATGCATTGCAAATCATTATTAAGTCTTTCCGCAGATATATCTATATCTTCAACTACTTCAAGAAGAGAAGTATCGTCAGCATAAAGAAAAGAGTCACACTGAAGATCCTGAGTAATATCGTTTATATAAATTAAGAAAAGTAATGGACCTAACACGGAACCTTGTGGAACGCCAGCCTCGATTTCATTCCAGTCAGATGACTGGCCATCAATTATAACCCTTTGTTTTCTTCCAAACAAATAACTTTTAAACCATTTTAAAGACCCGCTCACCAAGTAACTCAAGCTTATAAATAAGTCCTCTATGCCAAACCCTATCGAAGGCTTTACTAATATCCAAAAAGACCATGCGAACTTCTTTACCTGAATCTAATGCTTCGTATATTTTATGAACAATTAAAATAAGTTGATTTACTGTTGAATCACCAGGGCGAAACCCGCTTTGAAAACGATTCAAAAACTGAATTTCTAATAAAAAATTTTAGAGCCTAGTAAAAACTATTTTTTCCATAATTTTGGATAAGGATATCAAAAGTGAAACTGGTCGATAATTTAATTTTGACTGGCGGTCATCTTTTTTAAAAATAGGTATTACATTTGCCAACTTCCATTTAAACGGAAAAATTCCTCTAGAAAGAGAGATATTTATAAATCTAGAAAAAGATTTGGCAATACCATTTGCACTAGCTTTAATTAAAAAATTACCAACACCATCGACACCACAAGCTTTAGAAACATCGACACTATTAAGTAAAATTTTTACCTCATGTTCGCACGTGGAAATATCTGACAATGTTCTTATATTTTGAAGGCAATTAAATTTGGTAGTGGAGAATCATTATTTTCCAATCTACACTGTGTGCTGAAATATTTATTAAAAATTTCAGCTTTCTCTCTTGCGTCAATTATTAAGCGATCATTTTCAATTAATGTAGGGATTCCAGATTGTATTTTATTACCAAACAATGATTTCACTAACCCCCACCACTTTTTCGGTCCAATATGTGGGTTCTGTAATTCTACATTTAGATTTGCAAAATATCTTTCCTTGCTTGAACGTATTAACGATGTGGTATAATTTCTTTGCGTTTTGTAATTTTCCCACGCCACTAAATTTTTCAACCGCCTAAAAACTTTTAACAACCTATTTCTTTTGCGAATTGAACGCCTAATTCCAGAAGTCATCCAAGGTTTATCTCTTGGACGAATAACAACTGTTCTGTTCGGAACAAAAGTTTTAAGTACTTGCTCAAAACAATTAAACCACTCATTATATAAATCATCGACGTTTTTAACATCCTGAAATAATTTATCCCAATTTACCTCCGACAGGGCTTGACATAACGTATTAGAATCTACTTTGGCTAAGTCCCATATGTGTCGTTTATAACATTTTTGTTTTGCGAAGGAAATGCTCATCCGAGCATAAACTAAAGAATGGTCACAATTATATGGAGGGCTTAAAGTACCAGAATTAACAAAATATCCCGGAGAATTTGTTATAATTAGATCAAGTATTGAGGCACCGTGTGCTGTTATACGGGTTGGTTCATTTATCACTTGAAAAAGGCTATTGCACTCCATCCACCTATAAAAATATATTCCGAAGTCACTACTAGACTGAATATCGTTTACATCAAAATGAGCATTAAAATCCCCAAGAAGTAAAACAAAAGTGCCGGGTCTAGCGTTTATACTATCTACACAAAATTGTAAATGATCCAAAAGTGCGTCATTAAGTACCGAATTATTATTTGGTGGTCGATAACAAACACCACAAACAAATGTTAAAGAATTGACTTTGATTTCAACAAACAGTAATTCAAAATCATCGTGTTCTAAATCATTACGCCTTATAGAAGCTAAACTAGAAGAAACATACAATGCAACACCCCCCGCTCTTCTACCATCTTTTCTGTCCAATCTAAACATCGGACTAAAGCCTGGTATACATAATGAATCACTAGAAATACTCTGATTTAACCAAGTTTCAGAAACAGCAAAAATATCTAGTTTGTGTTCGATAACAACAGACGAAATCTCATCAAATTTGTCTTCAACATTCAAACTTTTAGCATTAATATGGCCTATATTTAGTGTTGAATTACGTGGACCGGGGTTACTTTCAACGTCTCCAGACAATAGAATTAACAAAACTAAATAAGCTAAGTGGCATACCGCCACCTTATCTTCAATACATAAGAATTGACTAATAAGAGTCCAAGTAGCTGCTCTATGCATTATTAAACTAGGCGCCATTAAAATTAAGGTACCAATATAAAATTGCCTCGGGCTGCTCAATAGTTAAACAATTAAATGCGAGAAAAATAAACACAATAAAGGACAAAGAAATAGGAAAAGCACTCATAGCTATCAAAGTATAATAAAATTGAGTAAAGGGTAAAAGGAAGGAGATTATCAATCATGAATATGTACTCAAGTCCTCTTTTCGCTTAATAATAGAAGTTTTACCGTCATCTTTTCTCTTAACAAAGATATGACCATCCGAGGTATAGACCAAAGCTGTATCACGGCACTTTTCTTTTGCATACATCAACAGTTGCTGATT